TCTGATGAGAACTGATAGTCTAAGATCAGAAAGAAGGAGAGGAGAACCTCCCCTATCAGTGGACTTGGGGAGGAGCATGCATGTAGAAAGGGGAAAAAGGGTGGGATCGGGAGGGGAGGAGGGAGGGGCTTATGGGGGGGTACAAAATGAATAAAGTGTCATTAATAATAATAATAAAAATTAAAAAATACCATGTGCATGTGGAAGAATGGCAGATGTGCCCCAGTAAGGAAAAAGAAAGGCTATTTTCTCTTGACTTTATTTTAAAATAGATTTCCTTATTTGTTAATTTGTGGGTGTTATGTGTCTGTGTGAGTGTCTCTGTGGAGGCCAGAAGAGGCCATCAGGGCCCCTGGAGCTGGAGTTACAGGTGGCTGTAAGCTTCTCAGTGTAGGTGCTGGGAACTGAACTCAGGTCCTCTGCAAGAGCAGCAAGCACTCTTAACTTGTGAACCATCTTTCCAACTGTGAGACCGTATTTTTTAAATGATAATGTGAAATGCCCTAGATGCCAGGACCCGGGTGGCCACCCTCAGTGCCGTGTAAACTTCTTATTTTTGGTCTTTCCTTTTCTTCTCTTGTTTCTATCTCTCCCTCTCTCCCTCCCTCCCTCCTTTTCCCTCTGTTTTTGCCTCCATGCTTCCATAGTGCTGAGACTATGTGGTTCTTAGAATAAAACTGTAGAGGAATTAAACACTATTAATATCTCGCTTTAGCTTCCTGCCAGTGTCTGGTTTCTTTAAGGCATAGGCCTGTTTATATTTTCAGGGTGTGGAGACAGGTTTGAATATTTATCAATTTGAGAAACTTTCATGGGGGTTTTTAGATGTTTAAATAAATGATGGCTGAACAAAGGATAATTTTATGGAATGCAATTGTACAAACAGTGAAAATTTAGTTATTTTATAATCAATAATATCTGGTTGTTAAATCAGGGATGGTGACACATGCCTTTGATTCAAGCAGAGGTGAGCAGATCTCTGTGAGTTGGAGGCCAGCCTGGTCTAGAAAGTGACTTTCAGGAGAGCCAGAGCTGTTATACAAACACACACACACACACACACACACACACACACACACACACACACACA